CTTATTACATTTCCATTGTAATGGTATTTTATTATTTTTATATATTCTCTATTTCAATTATATACTATTTCTTTGCTGTTTCAATACTATGATATTTGCATTTTAAATACTATGTATTATGATTTCTAATACTATTTATAGATGCAAACTATTGATGGCCTTTTTCAAATTTCCATTGTATAAAAGTTTTACTATTAATATATTCTGTTAAAAGACATTCACCTTTTTTAGTATATGCTAATTTTTTAGCATCATCAAGAGTAAGACGTTTATATGTAGTATGTTGTCTATATTTTAGATACCAAGTTTTTTTATTTCTATCATAACTAAGAGTTGCAAACCATTTATGTCCATTTTTACATTGCTATTGTAAATAATTTCGTGCTTTAATATATTCTGTTGAAAGACATTTATTTTCTCTTTCTTCAGCAATTTTATAAGCAGTATCTATAGATAATTTTGTCATTTTTATATATAATACAAATAATCAATTGCTCTTTTTATTATATTCATAAAGCTTTGGTACAAAAAAATCAGCCTATTTTATATTGGCTTGAAGATGAAGAGGGTAATAGACTGAAGCAATCTTTTGTCAAAGAAGAGCTTCAAATCATAAAGGATGTGCAATTACCTTCTTAGTGGGTGCTTAGGAGTTAAGCCATGCTTAAAATTCCTCTTCTCTCTCCTCATCTGTTATAAAGTACTCTTTAGCAATTTTGTGAATTAGTTTGAGATAGTTTAAAATAGCTTGTCTGATTTTTGGTTTATTTTTATAATAAGAATTGGAGAACACCTTTATTTTTGTATCATATATCTCTTCATTGGGAAGAAGTGGTCTGGCTTTAATTATAATATATTGCTTTTGATCTTCTGATTTATGCAATTTATCAAGTTGCTTTTTATAATAATCACTGAATTCTTTATTTCTATCCTTGTTATAAAGTTTTCTGCTTTTAATATATCAATTATTGATTTTTCGATATCTTGCTATAATGAAAAAGAGGTTTCAACCTCTAAAAATAGTTGGTTAGTAAATTGAGTAGTATTTAACATTTAAATATATATAATGTTTGGTAAATATAAAGACTAAAAGTTTTATTATTTACTTATAGAAAATTGTTTAAATTAAATTTTTACCTTATATAAAAATGAATACTATATATACTTGCTCTTTTGTTGATTATTCTGGTGAAATTTGTATGTGTCGTAGTACTCGCTCTGAGAGTTACTATTTTCATTATAAAGCTTTACCTCATAATTCCTGCTCTGAATGTGGTAAACCTACTTGTTCTATTCGGGTCATTGTTCTAAACATATTAGAGGGTTTTATGTTTCTAGATATTTTCAGAAACATCTTAAGAAAAATCGTATATAAAATTGGTTTAACTTTTTGGTTAGAGTTTTGTTTCAACTTTTTGGTTAGAATTTTGTTCCAACTTTTTGGTTAGAGTTTTGTCCCAACTTTTTGGTTAGAGTTTTGTTCCAACTTTTTTATGATTTTTGCTATCTTTAAATGATGATTGAAAAGCAAAATGCTATACTTATTTTGGTTAGGTTTTCTATAAGTATATAATAAAACTAATTTTATTCCAACTTTTTGTTCTGTCAGTATAAAAGAAAGGCTTCGAGTAATGATTGAAAAGCAAAATGCTATATATATTTCGGTTAGGTTTTCTATAAGTATATAATAAAACTAATTTTGTCCCAACTTTTTGGTTAGAGTTTTGTCTAACTTTTTTATAATTTTTGCTATTGATAAAAAGGCTTTGAGTGATGATCGAAAAGCAGAATACTATACATATTTAGTAAACAAATAAGCTTTCTATGCTCTACTACGCTCTGCATCTGAAATCACTATGCTCTTTTAGGATAGAAAGCTAAATAGAAATCAAATAAAATAACTATGCTCTGTTTTGATCTGCTACTGCATTGCATACACCTTAGATATATGCTCCTTAGTGTAAGAAAGCTAATTAGTAATCAAATTAGATAGAGAATGGCTTTGAATGATAATCGAAAAGCATAATACATCTTTGACAAAGCAAATGCAAAATGTTTGTCACTTGAATGATAACAGTTAGGGTTTCTGTCAGTATAAAAGAAAGGCTTCGAGTGAGAATTGAAAAGCAGAATGCATCTTTGACGAAGCAAATACAAAATGTTTGTTACTCGAATGACGATGATTAGGGTTTCTGTCTTAATTCTCTCAGATTTATATAACTATTTGTTTAAATTTTTATTTCATATATTCGAATATATGCAAATTATCTAAAATATTAATAATTTGCTTAAATTATTCTATTCATTATGATAATTTAAAAATTAATTATTTAAAATATTTAAATATTCAAAATTGTTTTGCAATTTTAAATATTTTTAGCTAAATCAATTAACATCTAAAATAGATCAACAATTAGTATATAAAATAGATAAACAAACAACTTTGTTTTGATAAATCACAAATTTGTATAACAATTGCATCTTTCAGCTATTTTCATGTTTTAAATTTATGTTACTTAGTATATATTCACAAATTTTACAATATTCACAACTATTCGCATCTAACAAAATTATCACAAAACTCACTAAAATTAAAACTGGAGAAAATTAAATAATATTAAGCTATATTTTTTTCAAGTTTGCAAAATCTCGTATTTTTAACTTTTTAACTGTTTAC